TCAGTGCGATATTTATTCAAATGATGTAGCCGGCCTCTGATTTATGGGACTTCAGCAAGTTAAATTTGCAACCGAGCCTCTTGTGTCTTTGCATAATGCTTGAATATCGATGCACTATATTATAGCGATCATAGATGGGAACGTGGAAAATTTTGAGTTCCTGGTGAAAAGTTTGAACGGGAGAGAGCATGTCCACGTTAATTATCAGTGCAGTAACTCGAGATTACATCTTCTTCCTCACATGTGTTCCGATCTAACCCTTTCCCCAAACTGCCTTTCGTTTGGTATTATAGTCTGCTCCCATCATAGTCAATTCTACAATTCGAAATCCTGGCAAAATGTTCACTAACGTGACAGCTTCGTCCGGCTGCCGCTGTGGATCTTTTAATTTTGAAGCTGAGGATAAATCCCATCGAACCTTAGGGTGAACAACCGTGAAATCATGCGATGACGTCCCCCTTGCAGCTTGAAGACCCCAATGTTCAGGCAAAGATTCAGCATTTGAAAATGCTTCACGCAGTAGGGAATCGTACACATTGAAAATCTGAGTAATAGACATTCGTTCGACATTGCCTTGCCGACATCTATTCAATTCAACATCAGTTAGATGTCACACCTCGGAGTTCGCACATTTAATAATGTCTCTAAAATATTATCTCATTAATTCTCGGTTTTCATTAAGATCGCTCAATCTCACAATTGAGATTCGCGTAAACTAAATCCAGAATTTACACCGCAAATCACGATTTTTCGATAAAAGACCATGCTTTGAAATTGTCAGGACTGCTGTTATTTGTGAGCATTAGATTTTCCCTATTTTACAGTGCTACTCTTCTCTTCGTAATTTCAAGATATCTCTGGTAAATGAGTGTATCTTCTGGTAAAGCGGCATAGCGGCAATGGTGTGTTTTTATTCAAGTCATGCTCTTATTGTCGATTGTCCCAGGCAAACTGTGTACCTCCATGATTTTTCATAAAAACGAGGTTATGAACCATCCAAATGTCCTTAATTTTCCCACTCAACCATAGCAATAAACGCATTTCACATGTGGAATGCTTTAAGCATTTTCAAAAGGAAACAGTTTTGTGAGGGAAATTTGCCATTCAAAACACCTTATCCATCATGTCAATAGCGTCTTTGATAGCATAGCAACAAAAAATTAAAGGATTCTTAAGGTGACGCAAATGATAAAAATGATTGCTTCGATTTCTAATGCACTTTTACTGACGTAGGTTAGAGAAGTGCGACCAGGAGCTGTCATCCTTGATAGTACTCTTATTCCACATGTGAAATGCATTCTAGCTCGAGTATTTTGTAATTATCTCAGAGATATCCACCAATGATAAAGAACCTTGTTGTAATTTTTCTTGTTATGTACATTTAAGAAGTGACTCACCTCAAAATGCAACTTGAAGTCTTTTGTTTCCTCATTGGGGTAGCCACG